TTCACTCCTCTACGATCATTGTTACTGAACAAAAAAAATTTTTGCTAGAAATAATATACATGGCAAAACAACGTTTGCCGGGTCTGCTAGTATACTTGAACTATAAGAGGATGATTTAAATAAACTATTCAAATATTAACGAGATGTACGGGAGATGTACATGTTCTTTCAAATTTTAATAAGGTAATTATCACAGTATTAAAAATTATACCTTTATTAAGAAATCTTTACTTATAATATTATAATTCTGACAAGTCTGGTTGTTTGTTTGGTAGAACGGCTTTCTCAAAAACAGCTGGAACGAATTGTTTTTTTTTTTAATTCGATCATTAAATTTATCAAGGCTTCATATTATCTCGCTCTGGCTGTATTGTCAAATAGTTGAACAATATTTGTTTGTCGTGACCTAATTAGTAATATTACTAAAACCGATTATTTTATAATTAAATAAGCTTACGTTAGTTTCATTGCTTCTTTCTGGATGACGAACGCACGAAAATCTTAAATAAGGCTGTGTTCACGTTTTTAGTAAAAACTTAACTAAAATAAAATAAGACTACCTATGTCTCTAAGATACTTATAGTGAAATGAGCTTGATTAAGCACACCTCATTGATAATCTCTAATGTTTGCATTGAAAACGTCTTGAGCGTTGAGTAATGTTAACGAAGTACTAAGTGATTATGCGATTATCATACACGATATGATACCTTTCATACAGGCTTAGGACTGACAGATTTGGGTTTACTCATAGATTATATGTATCTATATCTATATGTATTTTTGGGATATTGTGATCTCGTAGCAGTCAAAGGAACTAAGGGGTGGTTGGATTGTCATCATAATACAGATTATATTTTCATGCCTATTGATTTATTTATTTACACTTCGTTACCTTAAACATACATATAAAAAAAACATGTTACAGAAAGTGATTAGGCAACGGGCGATCTTATAGCTAATAATCAATTTCTTTAGGCAGCCCTAGAATGGACAAATAAAAACTAAAAAAAATATATAATGTATGCTCATGTATTTTGTCACTCGGGTAGATTATATATACTAATAATTAGGTAATTAAACCTTAGGTTATATCAATAGTTGTGGTAAATAAGCGAAGTATGTAATTTCATTCGGTCTAAAATTTCGGTCAGTTGTGGTTTGCAGGTGCAACATAACACGAGCAATTCTAGTAAAATAAATGTCTATACTTGTATGAATTGTGAAAAATGCATCAATAATTTTTAATAAATAATCAGGCAACAATATTAAATTAGTGTTTTACGAGGCTTTACTAAAAACTATTTTTATGTATCATGCGGCATTTTTTAACTAAACGTGCCATATCTACTCAGTATAACACAAGTTAAAAAGATTTGGCCAAATATAATTAAAATTGAAGAGTTCCCAGTCCCCTCAGCAAAAAAGGATGCTTAATTTGCGAGGTATGTTTTGTGGTAACTTTATTTGCAGATAAAATTAATACGTCTTTGATTTTATATTTCCAATACATACATTAGAATATTGTCTCAACAAACGAGAAAGCTATGCGCCGATATACACAAGAAGTATATAAAATTGAGAATTGATAAGGTTTTTTGAAATTATTAAAAACAATATAAAGGATGGATGTAGCGAGTCCCTATCCCTTGAAAATGTCTAAGGTTAATGACTTGATACGCTTAATCAAACATTCCGTCTTCGTATCCTCGACTTTAGAATTGCACATAATTTAGATGCCTACTGCCCACTGATTTCATTGACTGGTTTCGTTTCTCAAAAAAGCGTGAATTATTGGTGAAAATGTAAAAACCGACTTAATAAATATTGAATATAAATATTAAAATAAAATATACCTACAACGCGATATTTTGCAGTAGGTCAAATTTTTGCCTGCTAAAAATCTATGGGCACAGTATTGTATACCTATAAAGTTGTTAGAAAATTATACTTCCCTTGCTCAATGCAAGATAGAGTGAAATTGTTTACATAATATAAATAAATCCAATTCGATATTTAAATCTACGAAAATGTCATTAGTGTTAATTAACAATTTGTAAAATTTATATGAATATAATATAAGTTGTAAGAATATATGTATTAACGATAGTTTAGGTACTAACATAGAAACAACCCTTATAGCAAAAATGCATAAAACTTAAACAATGTGTCGACGCGGGAACTGCGGTCAAGTGCCTTTAAAACTTGTCACACAACATTATTAATTAAAAAACAAAACTCACCTAAAATGTTTTAACAACTAACAACACACACGAAAGGAGTTAAAACATTTATTGCACCTTTAACATGTATTTATTATTTTCTATAAATTCACGCGGTAGACATCGAATTTTATTAAACATTCAGTATGTGACTAAACACTAAACAGTATTACAGTACTAACACCCCAGTCCCCACAACACGTCTCACAGACTACTAAGAAATTTACTATTGAATGAGAATGAAGAATTCGTGGAAAGAGGGAGTGATATAGGCATATCTTTTATCCTTATCTGGGAAAGTTGAATAAATAACCTTGGACTTCGCTTTGTGGAGTGTGGTAATCTCGGAAAGCTTTCCAACCGACTTTAAAAACCCGAAAGAAAAGTTTTACAACTGGAAGAGTAATTTTTTATGGTAGAGATTAAAATTATGGATCATCTCACTGGACACGGGGTCTTTCTTAGACCTGTAACAGTATCATTTAATAACTTACTAAGTCACTGTTGAAAAATATTTAAAAAAGAATAAATATTTCGGTTTTGAACAACTAGAATAATTATTTCTATGTACAATCATACCTTATTTGATTTTTTTACATAACAAATCAATAATAATTTCTGAACAGAAAAAGTGACAGTTTACAATGAGTAGGTACATCTAGAGAACTAGGTACATTATAATTTTAATTAGTATGCAGTTTGTGAAAGTAATTGTTTATAATCTAGATTGAAAGCGATATTCGTAAAAACAATAGTCAATTCTTTGACAACACTGATTTAATCTAATCGTAAGTTATAAAAACGTTTTACTTTCAGTTAGTAATTTTATTAAAATTAGTAGCTATTGTTAGTATCAATTCCCAATTGGTACTTACTTTTTTTTTATAGAACAGGGGGCAAACGGTCTGGAGGCTCATCTGATGTTAAGTGATACCAGCGCCCATGGACACTCTCAATGCCATATTGTTCGCGAGTGCGTTACCGGTTTTTTAGGAATTGGTACGCTCTTTTCTTGAAGAACCCTAAGTCGAATTTTTCGGAAATACTTCAGTAGGCAGCTGGCTAAAAACGCTCAGTTGTGGAACGACCGACGTCGAGGTGATACGGGTGGAATTTCGTATTCTGCATCGACGTCCGATGATGAAACTCAGCTGCAGGTCAGAACAATTCCTCTGAACACTTTCCATGGTAAATGCGGTAGAAGTTGCACAGTGACTCTACGCAACTCTACGAACTGCTCTTCGTTGAATGTTCAAGTGGAAGGATCTGGTAAATTATCAATATGAGCCGCGGATTTACTAGTTGGTTTTCACCTACAATCTTCGGCTACATACATATATATTATATGTATTCTCGACTATAACGGCCACCCTCAGCCAGTAAGTGAACCTTTAGGTCGGAACAAGAGCAGCATCTTTTTTCTTCCAGTTTCATGAAGTACTTTGTAACCTTATTTAGATAATTAGGATCACTAACTTAGCGATTTCCATACATTTGATAAAATTTTCTATTCGAAAGCGAAAATTATGCATTTGTGCTTCCGTTTCTATAAGGTTAAAAAAAGCGAAGGTAACGAAGCACGGATCCCGTTAAAAATTAAATTTTACGTAGTTTCACTTTGAGCTATGGGTTTATTATCTTCCTTTAATTTTAAAGTATAGTGCTTTTCATGAAAGAAGTCCCGCGGTGATTTTTGGAACTAAATTTGACAGGTCGGCAATGTTGTCATTCGTCGATGTTATGAAGTTCGTTTGTTGTGGTAGATTTTTGTGAATTTTTAACTAGCTTAGTGCATTTTAAAGATTGATTACAATGCCAAAAGTTGTAAAAAGTTCGGCTCGAGAAATGATATTAAAGGTGAAACAGTTCTGTGAAGCGGAACATAAGAATCAAGGAGTTTTAATACCACTAAACAATGTTCGGAAGAGAGTTGCCGCCATAACAGGTACTTTTTAGAGTTGCCATTTAATATTTTTTTGCTGTATTGATGGGACTTTTATGATATAAATTCGTTTTTGCGACAAAATTGAATAAATACATAACGTGATGAAACTAGGTAACTGAAATTAAAACATATATTACATATTACATAAGCATTATAAACTTAAAGTTACTATTATTTTTAATTGTTCATAATTTAATTGCAGGTGTGTCAGAGAAAACTGTAACAAGAATTACAAACGAAGGTATAACAGCGGCATGTACTTCGAAAAAATTGTAACCCAACAATTATGCAATAAAACTCTGAGTAAAAAATTGTATTGCTTTTCTTTACCCTATTTTCTCATCTTTTCCCTGTAAGTAGGTAGAACACCGCTAATATAAGTAAATCAAAATATACTTTTTACATAACAGAAATATTGTTTCATCGAAGTATGCAGAAAATAATATTTGATAAATTACATCTGCTAAATGTAAATAAAATAGGTAAATTTTTTTACTCATAAATGGCAACATTACATTATGCGATTGCAGCGCCGCGTCTGGGGACTTCTTTCATGAAAAGGACTATAGGCGGGAACCTTTGAAACCATAGACAAAGAAAAAACATGTAAAATACAAGTTGTGCTGTCAGCTGTGTGACTGTCGTTATTTCTATTATTTTCCAAAAACCAATTTTGGTTTCTATACAATTGGTAATTGACATTTGACTCTTGACAGTGCTTACAATTAATACAATAGATAAATATAACCTAACATTTCAGCGTGATTTTGTTTACATTTTATGACTGCACATTTTATCACTTATTCCTTACGATAAATGTACAAAGCCATAGAAATGGGTGAAGAAGCACAACATAGCAACGAAAACAAAAAAAGGCAGCGGAAGAAGCGTAAGAATTTTATTTCTAACGCAAAGAAATACGCTAAAAAAGGACAACTTGGTCGTGGTACTCAAATTCCTGAAGAACTGTATCAGTATTTTGTAGGTATTTTAGATGTCATTAAAGAAGGCATACAGGATCCGGACGAGAGAGGTATGGATTCTTAGTATAGTATAGTATAGTAACATTTTAGTGTAACCTCCAAAAAAATAAGGATTCATTTTTTTTATAAATTAACCATTTCTGATAAAAAAATTATAAAGAAATAATTGTTAATATTCCAGAGGCCTTAGTTAGAAATGTTCTGGAGCGAACTAAAGGTGAAGAAATAAATGTAGTGGGAAATCAACTTGGATGTCGTCTTGTGGAGCTATTGTTACCATACTCTTCATCTGAAGATTTAGAGAGATTTATTGAAATCTTATCCCCCGAACTTCGTAAATTATCTGCTGACAACTTCTCAAGCCATGTCATTGAAACATTATTACGTGTGTCATGTGCTCGAGCAACAGAACATCTTCAAGAAACTGATGAACCCCCAGTTAAGAAGTCAAAAAAAGATGAGAAATACTCTGAAGAGCATATTAAAGCATGTCACGAATTTACATTAAAGATATGTAAATATGCTCTAAATAATTTAGAAGATTTTGTTTGGGATCAGTATGCAAATCATATATTGCGTAGTGCATTGAAATGTTTAAGTGGTATCACATTACTCCCAGGTGAAAAACCAAAAGTTAATCTATTCAAGGAAACAGTGCAGGACAAAAAAGGAATACCACCACATTTAACAAACATGACTTACAAAGTAGTACCGGACGAGTTTAAGGAAATAGTTACGGACTTTGCAAATAGATTATCATCCTGGCCGCAATTTAAAGACATGGCTTATGAAAATTTGACATCTGGACTTTTACAAGTATTGCTGTATGCTGTGAAAAATGTAGATAAAAAGTTGACAAAGAACTTGGTTGATAAATTGATGGATGAAAGTTTTGTACCAGAGGGCTGGGTGGGCAATGCTGATGAAGAAAAAAAAAGGAGAAAGATGGTGAAGACAAACCTTTACAAGGAAGTAATTTACCACCTGTTTTTGAGTCTGAACCAGCTGTAAGGTTAGTCTTTGTTATGTATGTAAGGTTTTAAGAATGAGAATGCTATGGAACTATATAGGAAGGAGACATGTACTTAAAATTATGTCAATTTCGCTTCCTCCATACGAGTTTGCGAGTTTAAGGAATTGACTGTGTATTCTTACCCATTATTTTATAAATTCTTGAACTTATCTAGTTTATTCATTGTAATATGTAATCCTTACTTGAGATGTTTGTACTAAGTAGCTTATAACTTTTTTGATGTAGTTTAATATTTAAAAATAAAATAATATCAATTTTAATGATATTTACACATTTAAAAAAAATCTACTTACATTATGTGTTAATAAAATAGTTATAACTTTTTGTTGACGACTGTGCTAGTAATATAATAGCAGTAGTACAATTTCATATATATATATATATTAATTGTACCTATGTAACTTTCTGTTTTGAGTTCTTTACAGCAGTCAAGGTCAGAGACTCAGAATAACATTCCATCATTTTGTATTTCCAGGCTATTAGAAGCAGCACTATTTGTAGTTAAGAAGAAGACATATACACAAATATATGCAAAGTGTTTCATCAATCGTCTAGGACAGCTAGCGGCTATGCCCATGCTTAATTTCACAGTACAGCGACTCATAGACAACTGTCAAATTAAAGAGGAGGTAAGAAACAATTAAATAACTTGTTTTTTCAAGTTATCTTTATTATGTAATAAAAATAATAATAGTTTTTCCATACTGTAAGTTGTATGAATATTCTTACTAAAGATAATGTTTTGGTTGGACTATTTGTGTCAAACTTAGTGTTAGTATTTTGTAAGCCCATCACTAAATGCAATTGTAACGAAATTACATTTTTGTACAATATCCAATTAATTAACTACATTCATTCATTTGTAATTTTATTTTTATTATTTGTGTAGTTATTGTATAGTCTACTTATTTGACATTTATTATCATGATTTAAAAATTTAAATATTGTTGGTTGGTTTATACAATTTTACATGCCAGTTTATTTGCCTAATTTTTGTTTCTAATTATGGTTTAGAAATTGAAAATGAGTATCAGATTAATATATACAAATTTGGAGCGAATAAATAATTTTGTATTATTATTCACATTTTTATATTCAGTAATAAAAATAAAAAATAAAATAAAAATAAAAATAGCCTTTATTCTCGAGTACACTATAACTACAGTAAGTCCATGTCTTTTAAGTTTTACACTTGTACTCGACCTCCGATGGAGTGAAGGCCTCCTCCAGATTCTTCCACTTATCCCTATTTGATGCTACAATTTTCCAGTTTTTTCAGTAATATCATAATATAAACCCATATCTTTCAGTTTGAACCAATGTTTGACGAGCTCTCGAGCAAGTTCGACACCCTACTTGCTTGTGGTAACACTGGTGTCCTTGTTGCACTGGCCAAAGCTTGCTTAAGAATAAAAGCCAGACAAGCACAGTTTATACAGGTAACTTAAGTATTAATTTACATGATTTTTTAAAACTACTTAAAATCACATCTATAAAGAAATACAATAACAATAATAAATCTATTTAAAAATTATAATGTACAAAATGAGAGATTTCCATTTCTTCCTTAGTATGGCATGTATTGAAATATAGTTTAAAAGATTGCTAACAGAAAGTGCAAATTCCAATTAGTTACAAATTTACAGTACTATAAGTAATATAATGAGTCGCAAAATATTTAACATTTTGCACCACTTTCACAATATTCTCATTATTGCTAACAATTTCAACTACTTACTACTTGCTCAGTATGAAATGTATGTATATAATCTAATATGTGTAATGAATGTATTTAAGTAATTTTTACCGGTTTCAAAACAAAAAAAATAGATATAAATGTTAATTTTAGTATGTTGACAAAATAATTCTTTTTTTCAGACTTTAGAAAAATCACTAAACTGTATGGAAGACAATCAAAAGCACTTTGCTCTACAATGTCTACGCCTGGTTCCGCTTGGGGGTAACGTGGAAATATCCACTCAGGGATTCTTCATTAACATACATGGCTCTGTAATTCTGCAGACCGTTCTTGATTTCCAGGTATTCAAATATTGTTTTTATATTTATATATATTTGCTTATCACAATGGCTGCAAAACTTTACACGGCCATAGAATAAATAATTTTCAAGTTTTTTTGGTTGCACACACAGGTAGCTCATTAAAAAAATCTTGGTTTGATGGTTCTAAAAAACTGGTTCTCTGGTGAAACTATTCTCTGAGATCAGCATTTTATTTTTTCTCCAACTATTATGTTAATTTTTTTCTTTTTCTAACATTTTTTGTCAATGCAATATAGCAAATAATAATCGCGGACAATATGCCGTATATGCAAGTCCGCGACTTGTTTAGACTTGATTTTCATGTTCTGCCTACTACTTTCATTAAAACCAAAGTAGTCTAATTGAATTTTAAAGTTTTAACTTAAGTGCTCTTTAGTATAAAATTCAAATCTCTGTTTTTAAATCATTATTTTGCAAACAAAATCGACTGATAGTGTTTGTTTTCTAGTCCAAAAGTGGAAATTATTTATTTTTCAATAAATCAAGCCTGTAGCGGATAATAATAAGCCTTTAAATCTGGTAAAGCAGTTTTATTTATATTACTAGCTGACTCGACATAAGTGTCTCAACAATATCAAGTGCGTCTAAAAAAAATTTTTATTTATTTTTTCCCCTCCGTCTACGCGTGATACAAAGACCAAGAGAATTAGAGATTTATTCCCATATATTATTAGCCGAAGACAGCTAATTTAAATAATAAACAATATTCTTACAGCGACCAACGAAAGCAGTTCAAAGCATATTGGAGCTTCAACCGGAAAGTCTTCTCTATATATTTAGTGAGGCAAAGGGAAGCCACGTAGCTGATGCCTTTTGTAAGGGACAGTTTGTTGGAGTAAAGGCACGGGATAAGCTTATCTGGAAACTTAAGGTAATTGAAGCAAAAGAGTTCAACATAGATTTTTCAAATTGTGTTGTATTGGTTTAACCTCTTTAGGTCTGGGCCTCAGGTTGCGAATCTGTTTCATGATGATTTGTCAATCTAATAGGCAAACAGGTGATCAGCCTCCTGTGCCCGACACACGCCGTTGACTTTTTGAGTCTAGGCAAGCGGGTTGCCTCACGATGTTTTCCTTCACCGTTCGAGCGAATGCTAAATGCGCATATAAACAGAAAGTCATTGGTGCACAGCTGGGGATTGAACCTACGTCCTTAGGGATGAGAGTAGCACACTGAAGCCACTATCCCAACACTGCTTTTGTTGTATTGTTTCCTTTCGTTATTTCTATTCATAAGTAAAATAAAATGTACATTAGTATTAAACACACATTGAAGCCATTTTTTTTGTTATTAATTGGTTAAGATAAATAAATATAAACTTATATTTACTTTTCATTGTCATATATTTGTGTAAATAAAAAAAATCATGGACTAACAATGTTTTTAAGGTAAATGAACTTGGTGAATAAAAAAAAATTCAACGTCAAATAAAATCAAAATCTTCTTGACGTGAACGACTTTAAGTAATACTTATTTGAAATATTTATTGTTATTTATCTTTATATTGAAATGTATTACATTAATTTATCAAACACGATAAATTATTTTAATGTTAGACCAAGTCATTAACATTTCACTTTAAATATTATTCCAGGGTTGCTACCAAACATTAGCAATGTCCCAGCATGGTTCAAGGGCCTTCGAAAAAATCTACGAGTCGGCCTCTAATGAGCAGAAGGTTAAAATAATGGCAGAATTGTCGGAAAAGAGCAATCTCTTGAATAGCACAAACTTTGGACGTTTGATTGCGACGAAACTAGATGTCGCTGGTTTCAAATTGTCACAGAATAAATGGGAACAAAGTAATTTAAAGAAAAGTGATAATAAAGCTGATTAAATTGATACGTCGTTTTATTTATATATCTAACATATAAAATTCTCGTGTTCGTTCCCGTACTCCTCCGAAACGGTTTGACCGATTCTTATGAAACTATTTTATGCATATTCAGTAAGTCTGAGAATCGGACATCTACTATTTTTCATCCCCCTAAATGGTAAGGGTAGTCCCACACCAGTTTTTATTTTTTAGACAAAACTTTTTGTTTTTATGATACAGCATACAAAATTACATACAAACCTTAATTGTCACCCCTATACGAGCAAACCCTATTTATTATTATAGTAGAATTATTTTTATTGAACTAAAAAAATGTTTCCTATAAATAATATACATAGCAAAACGACGTTTAGCGGGTCAGCTAGTATTTAATAAAAATAATACCAATCAAAACTATTTATTTCCATTCAATCAATGTTCTGCATACAAAACAGCACCATCTGGAAATAGTTCCCTCGACTCAGCTGACGTTTGATTTTTGTCAATACAATTTAATTATTTTGAGATTGAGAGCTTTATTCGGCACAATACTACACCCTTGGTCAGGTATAGTACTCGAACAAAAATTGCATTATATTGGGAGATCTATCTAATGTCTCTGTTTTGCTTATATTCATTTCTCACAATACTGTTTAATCACTTGCCGCATGCTGCGTTGGCTTTATTGTCCTATTTTTTTAATATCTTGATTACGGATTCAGTAACATAGGGTATAATTCAATTTTGTTCATCTTACCAAAAGAAGACAACAATATAACAAAAGATGTGATTCAAAAATAAAACAATATTATTTTTAAACTCTATATTGACAAATTCCATTACATCCTTTGGGAATCTCTCCGGGTAGAAGCTTACACACTTTATTTCCACACATGTATTCACCTTTTCGGAGGGATATATTTGGTGGTGGACGTGAATTACCTGTAATTAAAAAAAGATAAATTTAATTTAACAACATTCACGAAGAAATTTCTAACGCGAACGCGAAAAGTAAATCTTACCTACATTGTCAAAGGTAACTGTTAACATAAATACATAAGTTATTGATGAAAGTTTAAAAAAAGGGTTATTTATCATACAAACTTTGTTTAATATTAACTACTTTTCTTCCTGACGTTTAAACAGATGTTCTCAACCATAATATTGACAACAAAAATAATTGTTAAAATAAACGAATACAGTTGTTATATAACGAAACCTACCTTTTACTCCAGGAACATTTCCCTTAATATATTGTGGGGATCCTCTGGCTAGGTGTAAACTGTCCGAGTCCTTTGTCCTGGGCGCACACGACGCCAGAACAACAAGGCCGAGCACTAGGAATACAATCTGCAAATAGAATTATGTTAAACAACAACTAAGTTTTTTAAAATACTTTATATCAGACCGGTGGTGAACCCATTTAAATATTTACTAAGCCACATGTGTCAAGTAATCAATAGAGATTTAAACATAATCAATTAGACTTAAGACATAAAGAGAACGATGTACTAAGTCCCTTAAAAAGAAAAATAGACATCTTTCAGTGCCTTCTAAACGTTATTGATTCCTCGTATTTGAACTTATGACCTAAGACCGTATTGTATGATCCATCCGCGTGACAAACACTATTACGTAGGGTTGCACTTTCAATTCTAACTCTCATTCTACGACGGTATATCCAACACGACCAGCTTATTACGAGAGCAGAATAAACAGCCATACATGCTCATTTATGGCACTGCGGAGTCCAAACCCCTTCAACTTTTTTTGGGCTACTATAAATTGGTACTAGGATTATTTTGCTTAACAATAAGCAAAACACTAGTAAAGTCTAATATTTTTATTACTTTTACATTTTAACTTGTTTTAACATTTATGTTTACCATCATTGTAATATATCTAGAATGCATTGAGATATAGCATTATATATGTTGTGGTGAACTTTAATAATAAATAAATAAGTAGTAAATATTTGTCATATAAAGAGTAATATAAATATGTAAGGTAATCGTAAAAACAACTTACTGTAGTGTTCATGACTGGTGATTACTTAGGACTGAATCATGAGTGCGGCCGTGATTCAAACAAGTTGGGTGACCTGTTTGTCAGATTGCCTCCACTTTGCTCTTATTAAGTCTACAAAATATCCTCAAAAAGGCACAAGCAAGGGCCTTAATGTCCGAAAAGCTCTTTAATGTCTGTAAAGAAAACAAGTAAACAGACCTGTAGGGTGATAGAACGTACGCAATGTCGAATTTTCTTGGTTTTTACATTTAATTATTATACATTTGCAAATTGAGAATGCTAAGCAAAGGTACAAAGTGGATATAACTTTTGTTATTTTATGCTAAACGTTTTAATTACCTTAACACAACCGCATTCTGTCACTGTTCTTACTCAGAGTAAGTCTAGTTTGTTGTGGTTTTCGTTTGTCATAGTTTCGTCGGTTAAGAAATACATTTTTTTTCAGTCAATTTTGACAAAAAGAGACTGTATAATAATCACCTATAGCTACGAAAATATTTAATTTTTTGGAGGAGTGCAATCAAACATAACGTTACCTTAAACATACATATAAAAAAACCAGGTCACAATATTATTAGGCAACGGGCGGCCTTTTCGTTGACAAGCGATTTCTTCTAGGCAACCCTAGTAAGGAAAAAAGTAATACGTATTGAGGGTAAAATGAAATATACATAACAAAATCAACAAAATAATTAATTATGAGTAACACTAAACTGAAATCTAAATATGTAAATATTAATATAAATAGCCATTTATATATTAACAATTACCTTGTAATTATATAATTACAAGGTAGAATTGAAAAGTAGGTGTTCAAGTAGGAGATTCTTAAATCAATTTAAAGTCTGAGCTGGTCTGATTTCAAGAGGTAAAGAGTTTGAAAGCAGGATACTTCGCACCGTACAGGAGTGATAAAATTCAGTTTTATGAGCAGGAGATTCAATAATTAGATTGTCACGGTCATTATTATAGGCCAAGCTACTTCAAATTTGACCAAAACACATAAAATCGATTTGTGAATTGTCAGTCTTAAAAAGTAACATAATAACTTAAAACATACCATAATGCACGACCTTAAAGATTTACCTACTTAAAGTTCAACAGGAAATAGGAAATCGTTATGTTTAAACAAGATGATATTTTACATTTTACCAGGCAACGTGTGTCATGATTCAAGGAAAACTTTGTTATATATCTATCATAATATAATATTATTATATATATTATATAATATGTATTTACTTTATAATTTACGCATTACATTTAATTTTTAAACACGTAGACGTAGGAAATTTTAATTTAATATTAGGGTTTTATTTATAGGAATAATGTGAAATATAAAATGTTGAAAAGATTAGTTTAACTTATTTATTTGTGACCTTATGTGTAACCTTGCCTAAAGGAACCCCCTTTAATAATATATTTTACTTATTATATTTTAAGGTCAAACACAACAAATTTAACTGATTAGTAATAATTTTAACATAGAAACATCCTACACAGGTTTTCTTGATCTATTTTAAAGCTAATTCAAGTGAGCATATATTCAAATTTCGACAACTCCACTTGCCGTAGAAACCCCGGCCTCACTTCTCAAAGATCGTGGTCAAGTTTTCAATTGCAACCCTTCAAATGCAATCCTTCGCTAGCGGTGACGGGTTATGATTAAACCTCAGTGCTGCTTCGAGGACTTTTGTGTGGCTGCCCGCGACGTGGACACTATTGTGACCATACGCAAGGCATGAGTGCTAAAATTTATTGCAATATTCGCACGTTTGGCTTAACTTGGCGATTAAAAAGAGTGTCGGAGAGTTTATTGCCAGTTCTTCTCTTCCGTTCTACGCCCTTGATTTGAGAACTGGCAGTAAATGAATAAAATAAGAAGCATTTAATGTATTACCTATATGAATAAATGATTTTTGACTTTGACTTTGACTTTATGCTTTTACGCGTTATTTTAAACAACTTTTTATACTTACAAAGCGGAAAATGATACAAATATTTTTACTAAAATAAACGATTAAATTATGGATATTACATTTTTACACGCGTAAAATCTGTAGTCATAATGTTTTAAATATCATTATGTGAAGTGTATCGACCGTATTATTTCCAAATGACATTGGCTATTCGGTTAAACTCCCACAGAATCCCACAAATACACAAATCGTAGAGTCAACACGAAATGTAATTTGGCTGTATGGTGAAGAGTTGACGTCAGTCGGTGCACTACCGGCTAATTGACTCATGCGCCTGACGTGATGACGACAGAAGTAGAAATACGAATCAAATTACAAATCAAACCTACAGGTAACCATGGTTTTATGCCCTGAATAATTTAGAGAATTTTAACTAACTATTGTTGCATATCATGAAACAGTGTATTAAATTATGTTGCCCTAGTAGAGTGATACTGTTAATGCTGCCTGATTTTCCGAGTAAACCTTGGTCGTCTATTGTTTTCCGTTTCCGATTTATAGCCTGATTTTTTACTAATCTAAGGGAGGTGACATACGGATCTTAGAATTTGACTTTAATAATAATAATGATGCATTTTCTTGAAAAATACATGAAGTTTATTTATTTATACTTTATTACCTTATTCAAAACATACACATAACAAAAATAAAAAAGCAGGTTACTAAAGTTATAAGGCAACGAGCGGCCTTATCGCTAACAAGCGATTTCTTCCAGGCAACCCTAATGTGGAACAATGAAAAAGAAACACCTACAGAGGGTAGAGTACAAGAAATGCAAAAATTAACAAAAAAAAACTCAAAATAACACTCTTCGTCGTTCTTATTTAAATAAAACTTATTTTACATATTAAAGTAGGTACTTACATATACATAACTCGTTTCGAGTGCAACACAGCGCTGGTTCGCATTGACCACGCCTGCTATTTTTCTTCCTTTGATCAAACAGCGACAGTTATCTTAAAGCTAAAACCTGTCAAGTTATCTGTCAGTTGACAGCCCATGGGCAAACTGGTTGTAACCGCAAGCAGTCCTTTGTGATCACTCACTTTGATATTCAAAGGTGTAGTGTGGCCGACGTGGCTGTTTCGTAAATGCCATATATGAATTTTTACTTTAAAAGGTTAAATAGTGCAAGTACAGTTGAAATTTCCACTGAGTTTTACGTTAGCAAAGAGATAAAAAGTTACAGAAAAGTAAGTCTGGATGATTCTAGTAATCTTTTAAGAATTAATCTTGTTATAAGTTTGCTTTTCTACGTTGCAAATAGCAATTGTATTTTTTTATATAAAAGGGAGTTATTGTTTTTTTCCAAATTATATTTATGAAAATACTTTTATTGAATTCATTTACTTTTTAATATATTCATAATTATCTGGTTTAGTTTGTTATTTTTGTAATAACAATATTAAGATTATCCTACGAATAAAACAAACTGTTGCGTCTACCCATAGAGACGTAATAATTCTGAAAAGGTGGGAGCTTGTAGTTTATTGTTTATCAGAAGGCCAAATCGTAAAATGACTGCTTCACGACTGATTTGAGAGAGACCGCCGATGCGAAAACCGCTGTGTGAGTTCGAAAAGTGAGTTACAGAATCGCAGGGCTGGTCTCATTCGCACCTCGATGGAAGGAAGGCTTCCACAGTCTGCTTTTCAGGGTGTTTCCTTTTGCAAACGGGCTATGTGTGGTATCGATAGTATCTTTCAGTGGGCGTCTTTCCATAGAGAAGTGTACCTTTAAAACAAAAGGCCGGCGACGATCTCACTAACACGAGTCTCCATGCACTGAGGCAGCTGCTCTTTCATATAATAAAAGAGAAATCTGAAAACCAAAAGATTTAAACTTATCGTAACGCAACCTGACGTTCCTAAACGACTTGTGGCTCGTGACTTCAAAGAATATCCCTTTTAAGTTGTAAAAATATTTAGGACAGCTTAAGAGACGTATCAAAGGACTATCATGTTAAGTGACGGCAAAGTATACCTCGAGGCTAAATGATTTTATGAACTGTAATGTTTCTATATCAAAACAGATGACAGACACAAAATAATTGTGATTTCTTCGCTGCTTTACATACGGGGTGATCAGTGATGTGTTCTACTTCTTGTGATACGCGGGTTGTTGATACTACTAGCAATTTTTAGAAAAAAAAGAAAAGGTCTTAACATTAGTAACAAATAATGATAAATAAAATATTATTGTAGGGCGTAGTGTTAATTTGGGCTCACTCACAGATTTTCAGTATTAAGGCATGTGATATTAGTCGTGGTCTAAATTATAATACTTTCAACTTATTCGTTTCATTTCTAATCACTAATCCTGAGACAATAGACACGAAGAAGTTCAAGCCTTTACGTTCACCGGTCTTGTTCCATATTTAAATATATAAACAATGTTGCTTAAACAACAACTGTTGTTGTTGCTGTTGTTGTCATGGCTCCGTAATCTACAATAACCATTAAAACTGACAGCAATTATTTCTAAATTAAAAACTAATTTTTAACTGAACTGTATACGTTTTGAGCTACATGCTTTTATGGGTAAGATTCAGACTTACTAGTCTCTCGAAATCCCGTATTGGATTTGACATAAGCGACTCATTCTTAGCCCTAAGATTGGAATATGAATCTTACCCTTAGTCTATGGTTTCTCTAGCCTCATGTAAAATGTGTAGTTGTTTAATATGCTAGTCTTTCTAGGAAAATTGATTTTCTTTAAAGGGAATATTAAAATAATATTCAAACATATACTTAGATTGCATCACCACATCTATGAAACTGCATGTAATTATGCAAATCTTTTGTTTAAGTCTAGAATTATATTAAATATTTACCGTGCAACCTATGTATAGTTTTTAGAATGAAAAACCATATACGTAATAATTGAAACGCTATATTCGTTTGTTTCCCAAGTGATATATATTTTCTTATATAAGGTTAGCCTAGTCAAGGGCCTGCCTTGGGGGTGCCACATCAAGATCCGTGGCGCGGGCCTGCCATCTCGATAAAAATAAGTATCTAAGCGCAACTAAGCAGATGCGTTCGAATCCCAGCTGTGTAGTTACGGGTATAAAAATCACCGCGAAGAAACACATAACCCCTCGACCTATATCATATTTAAATACCCAAGTAAAGGCTGTTAAAGAGAAAATATCCAGATTCAGATTAGAAAATATTAGGCTAAGAACAAAAAGTTTAGCGCCTTTAAGTTTACTTCAAATCATACAGTGATCTTTATTGTGATAAATAAAACCTGTAGCAACAAGGATAAAAAAAACAAATTTAATTTTAAACATCTTTATTTCAATAAATTAATCGTCGAAATGACTCGGAATGAAGTTTTATACACATAAATAAATTTTACTAAACACTAATATTGCACATACAATTAAATAAGAAAATTATTAGAATTATACCTAATCTATGTATTTAATATTTAACAAGCAATTAGTACGACATATTTACATAATCACAAAAACCTAAACTTATGGCACTATGAAGAATGCATCCTTAGTATATTTTAATATTATATATTTATTATTAAAAATGACAAAAGAAAAACAAATCAATTACTACGTCACAGATAAAAAAAACTACTTTAATTTATGTTAAATATTATCTATGAAAAAAAGCGTACTTACTATTATTTAATGCCAGTGTGTTTTGCTTATTTCTAACTATATTGCGTTAAGCGTATCAAAGTAACAACAATTTATTTCACATTTACACTGTTTTAGTTTAAAAACAAAATGACATTCAAATAATTGTAGGCAAAAATTTACACCAGTATTAAATAAAAATACACTTTTTAATTATTCAAACGCATTAAGAGATTTAAAATAATTTATTTGAATGAGAAGTATACGAAAAAGGATTATTTAAATTTTTCAGCGTAAATCACATCGTTATTTTAAATGCTTTTACTATATTTATTTTTGCTAAAGTAATCTATAAATGTATTTACATTATACTTAAGTAATGTTAAATTTTCCGAAAATCAAAATACATAGGTACTTACTAATTGTCCGAATCCTATACCTAAAAACAGCCATATTTGCTGCCGGTTTTATAGAACATTTCAATGCTTTCTATGGAATACGAGTCGTAACAATTACGAATGGTATAACAGACCAGACGTTTTTATTCATTTTTAACATCATTTGAGATATTCGGACTTATAAAATGGTCTAATAGCCATTCTAGAAAGTTATAGGTGTGTTCCTATTGGGCAAGAAAAAGCTAACTCTGGGTTTCTATATTAAAAACGCATTATTTAAAAATCTAGTATAGTAATTACGAATGGTAGATTAATATAATGTATATTTGTTACTTTATTAAATATCTATGTACACATTGTACTTTGGGAAATTATCTCCGAATTTTTCTAGGAAATCTGACATTTCCGAAATATTCTCTGGTGCGTCATTTTTTCCCGCCAATCCCACCGATGAGGCCTTGCGTCGAGAGATTTGACAGCGCTATTCTGTCATTGGCAGCTGTCAAAGTGTTTTGGTTGAGTAATCTGTCAGGGTTGAGGGTGGTTATGGAGAGACGGTTGTCAATGGGCGTGGTTGCAGGTTGGGAGATGGGTGTGGTTGATCGTGGGAGAGTTTTGGTCAACGTAGTGGGTATAGGAGGCGATGAACGGAGCATTGCGGCAGGTTTTTGGTCACGTCCGCTGCAAACCTGTAAAGAGAGATATTTATTTTAACTTATAAAAATATAAAAAAAATCACGCTCAAATAGAAAACAAAACAATCCATGGGCGGTATAACTAAACATCAGGTGAGCCTCCAGCCCGTTTGCCCCCATTCTATAAAAAATAATCCTTCCTTCCTTTCAATCTTCTGAAGTCAGTCATAATCACCTAATGTTTGCAGAATATTAACAAAAAAGTAAAAATAGTATTAGTAAAGAGACCTGGTGATGGTTCTCCCAGTCCTTGTGCTGGCAGAACGCCCCACAGTACCGGGCCGCATTGCACCCCGAACATGTCTCTTGCGCTTTGCGACCGCAGTTCCAACAGCACTTAACAAAAATATTAACTTAATTAAATAATAACTCGAATGTCCAGGCAAAAAAAATCGAGTTTTCGACTAAACAAGAACTTTAAGATACATATCATATGTGTCTCTTATCTTAACTGCTAAAAGTTCGACTTACAGAGGCACGATTTTAAAGTGAATTTTTTTATTTGTTGAGTCGAATCTGAATAACAATTCAACTTGAGTTTTGAAGTATATATATTTTTTATGTAATGTATTTATTAATAGCACGTGTACAAGACAAAAACATTATGGGGGCTTCTAGCCCCGAACGTACATTTTGGATTTTATTGCTATTAGGGAATTTCAGGGAAGTCATCGTCATATTTTATTAACTACAACTTACGTAGTCCTCTTTTTTAAATTCGAGTTAGAGTTTAAATATATATTAGCAATATTTCGTAGGGAAATCATATTTTGTTCGAGTTACAAAGTCTAAATAATTCGAGATTTTTACGTATTTTCATACTATCAGACATTGTTTTGTATATTTATCTATATATACTGTATCATATCTACCTATATTTTAAGCAAGCCATTTTCAGTTGCCCATACTAATGTATCTTTTATATTTTAAACACTAATAAATATATACAAATATTATTCATCTAAGCTTTGTTCGCGCAACGGTTAGAATCCGGCCTGAGGTCCTGGGTTTGCATCGATTAATGTTTTTCTATTTCCGCGAACTATTGGTGTACTTTGTATGTACTACTTCTGTCTATTGCAATGTAATGCTTTCGAAATTCCTTTTGATCCATTTTTAACAAACAAAAGTTCCTTCACTCAAAATTCATTTCTCACAAGCTAATAGTAATACAATTGTCAAATGTATACACCTGTTTTTTTAAGGTTAGGGCTTATTAAAAATCATATTAATTTAATACTAGTAGCGCCATCTATGTGTCAGCCTACGAACTTTTCAGCCCACCTGTTATAGTGGCGCGTCTAAACGGGCCATGTTTTGCTGCAATTGATGGCTGCACTGTTGGCCACTAATTGCCCGGCCATTACGAAAATATTTTAATGCAGCTGATGGCCGAACAATCTATGGTTGGGCAATGTGTTGCAATATGTCTGCAATAGTATGGCCCATGATGCAGACTCCTAAACGGGCTACACAAACCGGCAACAATGGCTGACGAAATCACACTTGTCGCAGCAGCTTATATTGTTTTAAAAAAGAAACAGAAAAGAAGAGATTGTGGATTCGACCTTACTTAAATAGGCGTGAAACTGTAGACAATTTGAGTCTAGAAATATGCCTTGATAATAAATTATTCAAGAACTTTACTAAAATGTCAAAAGCAGTCATTTTTAAGTAGCCTAACCTAACGTCAAAATGCAGCTGATCGCAAAACACAGAATATAGCAACAGGCACACTTCACTCATAGCAAACTTCATGTCGCGTAGAAAAGGATACACTGTGCCATAACAAAGAGAGTGACTGAAACAACAATAGAACTGGCTGTGCAATATTGCAGTTGAATTCGATAGCCTAGCGATCGTCCGGCCACCCATCGGGGCAACATCGGCCATATGTGGCTATACAAAACATGTTTGGCTATATGGCCGGGACATTACTGCAATATTGCATAGTGTGGCTGCTATTGTTTGCAATGTTGCCGGCCACAGTGTTGCAGCCATCAATTGCAGCAAAACATGGCCCGTTTAGAAGCGCCATAGTACAATTCTTAATTATCATAGAACACAAGACACAGTTCCCCTTAATAGAGACTGTAATTAGTGTTATTGGACACTTTCTTATTTTAAATATCCTTATTAGTCAATCGATTAGACTTCAATTACTCATAATTGTGTTGCAGCCATCAATTGCAGCAAAACATGGCCCGTTTAGAAGCGCCATAGTACAATTCTTAATTATCATAGAACACAAGACACAGTTCCCCTTAATAGAGACTGTAATTAGTGTTATTGGACACTTTCTTATTTTAAATATCCTTATTAGTCAATCGATAAGACTTCAATTACTCATAATTGTTAGTTAGGCTAGATTCGTAATGTTCCAAAATGCCTCAGGGAAGAGACAATGTTTAAAAAAATTATTACGGTAAGTCTCGGAATCTTAGACGAATAACGGTAGCTGCACTAAATTATTATTATTAAACCAAATGTCTACGAGAAAACGCTACTGATAAATATTTAGAAGATATTCAAGCTTGGGAAATGTTCAGCATCCAGGCATCGGAATAAAGATTGATGATATCCCATTGGGATTCAGATATTTTTGTTTTTATCGTGTTCTGATAACTAATGATATAAATTTATTTACACATATACTTTTAATGATATCTCTTTTGTATGTAATTTCTTATCGATATTACATTATATGAAATAAATATATTAAAGTATACTAAACTAACGTTACTCACATATGGATTAATGTTAATCACATATGGAGTTGAACGCCTTGGGTCCGATTCCCGAGGAAAAAAAAATTTACTGAAAAATGTCAATGTACTAAACTGTATTTTTAGCCCCATACCTCAAGAGATTTTTTGCTTAATATTTTAAAATTTATTTCTGTATATTATATTATAACTATTTTAATAAATTAAAATGACTCATGCTGATTAGTATGATTATATGTGAATACAGTTATGGAAATAGCAAGCTGCAAGTTGACCTGTAAATAATTCACGTAATAATTATCAAAATTACACCTAGATGCCTAACCTGTTGTCCAGCTGAGCTGGGACTGAGATCCCTTCCAGGAGGGGGTGAATGTCTCCTCTCCTTACGTTCTGCAGCCACCAGCTCCAAGGCCTTAGATTCGGCTGCACCCACCGCTCGCTGTAACTCAAGCAGGGCTTGCCGTTTTACCTGGAGTATCGAAACAAATATTTGTTTTCTATAACAAATATGTTATAGGGAATGTAAATGGTAAAATGTAAACCTTAAAAATAAAATTTATTATAATTTTAAGATTGAAATTTAAATAGCTGCCCGTTACATTCTTCTTAGTACGTTCGCGACATTCATTTGTTTTACCAGCCTTTTCAGACTTAATTCGTACAGCTAATTCGAAAATTGTATTATTTTAGACAAGGTGTAACTTTTGCAAATACAAAAATTATTAATTTTGTATAATCATCATTGAGCTACTAAGACTAGAGTTATATTAAAATTGTGAAAACATGAAAAAAGATAAGTACCTACTGCATCAAGAACCTGTAAAAATATTTGAAACACGAGTTAAGTGAAGGTATCTTACCTGATTAACAGCATCTTCAGCACGTCTCCTGACCTCTGCGACTCGCTCTTCTGTCTGTCGAACTGCAGCGGCCATTATTTCGCTTGCAGCTCGCTTTATATCAGTATTTTCGGCTGGTTCAACCCCTAAAGAAGACAGAACTATACTGTTTTATTCATAGAATTTTTGAAACTCGTTTCTAACTTTGAATTAATCTAACCCACCTAGAAAGTTAATCTAAATTGAGTTATGAAAGAGTGTTGTTCCTATCGTTTTACATAATCATACATATAAAAAAACAAAAAAAGGAGGTTACATAAGTTATTAGGCAACGGGCGGCCTTATCGCTGACAAGCAACCCTAAAATGGAACAATAAAAAAGAAACACCTACAAGGGGTAAAGTACAAGAACTGCATAATTACAACAAAAAAAAATTAAAATAACATGTAACTATGTATAACTAAGATTAAATAAAGTAAACAAAAATATAAAAGCTAATCCAAAGGTTAATTGAGTCACAATTAATATATTTAAGTAGTAGATAATTACGAGGCAGAAGAAAAATGATCAAAAAGAGGATTTTTAAATAAATTTAAAATAATTTGTTATGATATAACATGACTCATTTACACACACACACAAACGCACAATACAGAATTTATTACCATACTAGTGGAGCCCACAGACGTTGTCCTGCATGATATTTAAAGCGATTAGGATATTAAGCAAAGTATGAAAGTACCGACTGCAGTGCCATCTGCCGGGCTGATTTGTGAATCTAAACCATTCCCAGATCCCCTTGAACACACACAAAAAATTTCATCAAAATCGGTCCAGTCGTTTGAGAGAAGTTCAGTCACATACACACGCACACAAGAAATATATATATTAAGATAAGTTAGGGAAGAGCTGCGTAGTTATTAATTTTTATTTACCTAAAAAAAAATTGTTCATTTTATATAGCATATATAGAAACTAAAATTATACAATGTGTGGCCCCCTATTAAGTATATGCAAATAACTTGCGCCACGGGGACCCAGCTCTTCCGTAACTTATATGATTTAAATACGTCTATTTTGCGAATGATAGACTATGTGTGTGTGTGTGCGTGTTATAAGATGTAGTAGTTATTTAAATTAATTAAAGGGATAAAAAAACCTGGTACATTACCTGTCCCTCTCTGCTGGAGGATAGCCAGTGCCCGCTTAGTCTTCTCCACCATACTAAGGATGCAGTTGAGCATCGTATTGATGTTCTTCCATTCGTCATCGTTCTTCGCTAAGCCTGCTGGTCGTGGCTCCGTGAATGATGCGTTCATTGTCGATACATCACGAACTGATATACCACCTTAAGCAAGAGGGCATTCACACTAATTCATTTTATATTTGTAATGAGGGTATAGTAATGTTTTTCTACTTTTAGTACAAACATTTTAGTATTATCTACTGGTATACTTACGTTCTAGGTCTAACCGATCCCTAGACTATAATTAATTTGTTAAATCTATGGTCCAGCCAGTATTTCACAACACAGGGCAATTTGGTTGTTAAGAGGGTATGGGTATAGGCGCGGCAAAAATGTATTAAAATTGATTGGAATTTGAATTTTAGATTTTAACAGCTACTATCAAATATTTTTTCCTAAAATCTATCATTTAAGTGTCTTAAGTAAACGATTACTTTTTTGGAATATTCATAACTATGTAGGTTACATGTTGCATAAGAATTTTAGAACGTTGGGGCACAAAAAAGCTTGGGAAACACTGGTCTAGGCTGTGTAGAAGAAACTACTCTTAGCAATAATAACTGGGCTACATATTTATTACCTGTTTTTGTTATTGGTGTAAATTAAGTAACTATTAATAATAAATTTTGAATGTTCTAGAATTTTCGACTTCAAACTTAGTGTTGGTAAAAATTACGCACCATCTCTTCTCTCAAAAGGCTGCTCCTGCGCATGATAACCGTGGTAAGGGTAGTCAAAGAGGCTAGCATTACTCGGAAGGTGGTAGAACGGTGAGGGGTTGAAGAGGCTAGGCCGCTTTGCGTGTGGGGGATATTCTTCATGAGAACCGTTGGTTTGGGCGTCGTAAAACCTAGAAAAATAAATGAGTATAAATAAAAAAGTTCGTACGAAACTATATGCTTAACTAATCGTTATGTATATAACATTTCTTATGTAGGCCCATTGACATGACAAATAAATGAATGTTCTATTGTAAACAGTTTAATAAAATAATTATAACAATATTTTAGTAGTAGTATTTACGATGTCAATAATAATAATTTTAAATTCTATTTTAATTTCCTACTTATCAATTTTTAATTATTTTTATTTTTACGTTAAGAATATTGTAAATATTGTATATGAGTGTTGGAAATAAATTGATTTAGAATATAAATGAATTAAAAAGATAACTCACCCACCTATTATTTTGCTAGTATTATGAGATAAGTTCAAACTACGTCACCCATGTATGAAATGATCACCAAATTTGATATTGATTGATGTGAGAATTACTTGAACTTATGAAGCTATGACTAATATCGGGTCCTCAGGCAAAGTTATTCATGTATACATTAATTAATGGTTCCAACCTTGTTATCACAATGTTTTCTTATAAAATAAAGACGCTTTATAAACCCAACCCTTTACCGAATCAATAGAAAATTTATAGATAAACTTTTAAACGAGTTGAATTTCCAAACATCTGCCGAAACTTCTCCATTGTGAGATTTTACGAGAACAAAGGCGCTTTGCAATAGATAATTAATAGGCTTCTAAACTAAATGTTGTTTAGAAATATTCAATTCTTTTTTTTAATATTAAGTTCAACAATAAGGAAGACAAATATTATTATAAAATGAAAATCTTAACCTTTCTAAAATCATTTAATTTTAAATGATATCGCTATGGGGAGTTACCAAAGTGTCGACGTTGGTGTGAATTTCTACTACGCCTCTTAAAGGAACAGTAAATGAAACAATTTGGTAACTGAATTCTGGTTAACATTATAACCCCCCCGGCGGGGGGGCCGTTGGGGTTCCCCCCTCTAGTAAAAAAACTGAATTTGGTTCAATTATAAGTAAAGAACATACTTTTATTATAAACCAGCAACTCATCTAAATATAATTACTATGTTGCTTATCTTGCTAAAGAGTTTCAACTCAAAAATTCAACACCTTGACACGGACTACCAGTGAATTAGTGTTAGTGCACGTTAGTATTAAGTGCTAAACAGTGAGTGAAAAAATAGAACACAAGAACGGAGTGTCTTCCCTTTAATAGAGACTGTAAATGGTGTAATTGGACGCTTTCTTATGTAATAAATCCTAATTAGTAAATAAGGTTAGACTTAAATTACTTATTAGTCTTAAGTTAGGCTAGATCGTAATGTTCCATGATGTCTTAGTAAAGGTACATGTATATAAAAAAAACATGTGTGTGTACTTATGTACACGCGTTAGAAGTTATACTTCTTTGGCGTAACAAGATTTTTTTTTTCGCCTTATTCTACTTTTGTAGAATAAACGACACTAACAATAGAAAAAAGGTATTTAATACATTGAAAGTTTTATTATAACGCACTATCTCGTTAAATAAAGTTTATTTAAATATCCCAAAAAAAAAATCTACATAATTACTATGCTAACTACATCGTGTCGGTTTTTTGTGACGGTGTAAAAATTTACTCTCATCATTTTTCCCTAACGCGCCAAAAGAAGTCTAACTTTAAAAAATTCCTGCTTAAGGGTAAATATGCACATGATTCGCTTAAAGTACTCAAATCTATTTTTGTATATTAAAAACGACATACATAACTAAGTATATATAATAACACAATTAAGTAGTCGTATGCAGGCGCACCGTTGTTTCGATAATTATTTATTGCCTATTGCCTTTCGCAAATAGTTTGGCCATAGATTTTGCTCTTTGTGCCAAGTAACGAGTGGATGCGATATGGAATTAGCTTGAGTGCTCGTAATCTTTACCTGTGATTTATAACGTTGCTCATTAAATATTTACGTAATTTTCATAATACTCTCTCAAAAATAATCGTTAGTGTCTGATTGCTTTTGTGAACATAGCAAATAACACATTTTAATTCATTGTCCCCTGCGATGTTACAAATACTTATTACATCGGAATTTTTATCGAATTTTTACATTACATGTAACACTCGATATTCTAAAATAAATTGATAACTTAGATGGATGGATTATAGAAATTCTTCTCAAAGCTATATTTAAACACCTCTTAACCACATCCTTTCCTTCTGAGTAATCGTGACTTTTATAATTATATGTTTTTTTGGAATTGAAATTATATTTTAGAACCTAGTATGGTTTTTATTACCTTAACCTTAGTATTTTTATTTATATATTTATTTACACTTTATTACCTGATACAAAAACATACATATAAAAAAAGCAGGTTACATAAGTTATAAGGCAAGTATTAGTATATACTTAATAGTATTTATTGGGTTCCTTAATAGGGTTGCCTGGAAGAGATCGCTTGTTATAAATAGACGTTGCCTACTTAATTTATGTTATCCGAATTTATATTATACAATATTAAATAAATATATTACACATATAAATTATTATTATTATTTTTTTTTTACAAATTACTCCAATGCGGCGACGATTTACATTTATATCACATAAAAGCAATACATACTCATAGAAATTAGAAACCACCATACCATTAAACAGTAATAGATTAAAATATTTACAAAAAGACTAACTATTTCATACAGTATAGGAACTGACATGAAGCAGACTTTTTGTAAGTTCAATCAACGGACAATTAAAAACGTATGTAAATCTATGCAGTTAATAAATTATTTCCATACATTTTGTTATATTATTGTTACTGCGAAACAAAATCTCGCCGCTTCCATCTGCGTTTTGTAGTGGACACGAGCGGCTGGCTGATACCCAATAGGCGCGTTGTCGCGATGCAATCGAGAACACGTAATGTACGAGCGCGGTTTTTGGCTCAATTAATTATTCGACTAATGGCGGTTTTGGCTCTGATTTTGTTTACTAATATTTTAATCTTGTAATTAGCGGTTTGGCAAAAATACAGGAGCCATATTGCTATAGTTGGAGCTTCATTTAGATAAAATACGGCGGCATGTGTTCACTGTGATAAAATTTTAATAATGGAATATACACATAAATTATAATTACTTTTTCAAATGGGAACCATGAACAGGGTTTTAAATTGGAATACCAGCGAAATTAATATAGTATGTTTATTAGACCATTTCTTGTTAAGAATATTATTAGATTGTTAAGATATTTCTACAGTTACTACTATTTTATTTGTTTGAGTTTGCGCTATAATAATGAATTACAGTACACTTGGCTTTTTACCAAATAAAAACGTTACCGTCAAAATTATAGCTTTATTTCGTGACAAGATTCATGCCAATCTTCAATCAAAAGTATATACCTTTCAACTATGACATTAATAAATAGTCATTATTTAAACGAATAGCAATCACCTATAATCAAAGTTTGCTTAATTGCTCTATAAAGGTGAAATTGTGTAGCTGACTTATGATCGACAGTTGTTATTTTAATTATATTGGTTATTGCTTTTGTTAACTACGCCTTCATAGAAAATAACTAGGTTTAATAATATAGTATAAAGTCATATTAAGTGATTTAGCGAGGCTTATATAATGGTTTTAGGAAGTGAATATTGCTTGAAAATTGAAATAGATTTTGCTAAATAATACACTGCATAATTCTTACACTAACCTGTTTTTAAAGGCTAGCTTAATGTAATAAATTCACGTTTAAATATATAAATTATAAAGACTACTATAATAAATGTGTTGGCTTCAGCGTGCGACTCACCAATAAACATTCTGTCCAAGTGCGCATTCACGTACGGTGAAAGAAAACATCGTGAGGAATCCGGCATGCCTTAAGCCCAAAAAGTCGACTATGTTAGGCACAGTCTACTCACCTACTTGGCTATTAGAAATGATTACGGAACAGCTTTGCGATTCTGTAACTCACTTTTCGAACTCACACAGCGGTTTTCGCAGCGGCGGTTGCGCTCAAATCAGTCGTAAAGCAGTCATTTTACATTACATTTGTCATTGGCATTCTGATAATCAGAATGCCAAACGTAAAATACGCTTTACAGATATTTGCGCGCAACCGCCCTGCGATACCCGGAGTTCCAGAAGGCAGATACAGGAATCTGAGGCTTTGCTTTGAAAAAAGAGTTGCAAAATATGTTTTTGAACTTCTTTTGGCTCTTTAAATTTTTACAATGCGCGCGCACACAGCCACAAAAAACCGACACCCTGAAGTTAGCTATAGTCAACATTACAACTACATATTGTCAAAATTTTTATCTTGTTACGCCAAAGAAGTATAACTTCAAGTTTGTACATAAGTACACACACATTTTTCGATTATCATAACATAAATTGATATAATATGTATAATTATATATTACATATTCTAATAATTGATAAAGGAAATTATAAAATGGAGTTAATTTTAAATTCCAAGAACTTCGATTTCGGATGTATTTTTTTTCTCCATATCTACTAAGCAGATTAAATGTGACGTATATATATATTATTTGAAATTGCAAAAGTTAAAATATAATAAAACTAGTAATCGCTAAGCGAATCATTAAAAACAAAGTTTTATAACTAGTACAGTTCGCTGACAAATCAAAACTCTAATGTGCCGCCTGGGTCCCTAATGGTTAGACGATTACAAACTTTACGTTAGCTTTACACATTGCTTTAATACGTATACGACATGATAATTATTTCAAATGAATACGCTTAGTAATGTTCTATAACATATAAAAATAAATAGTAAATTATGTTCCTAAGCGCCAATTCGAGTAATTTATTCAACTCTGAGGAAGGTCCTTCAGGAAGTGAAAAATTAGATAACTTTATTCTTTAGTCTCTATGGGATAGAATAGCAAAATGTTCCATACGTTGGTATGTAGCTACAAAAAGGAAGATAAAAACATGTTAAGACGAAACGAAGTTCGCGGGGCTGCTAGTACAAAAAAATCTATTTTAGGATTTTGTTGAAAAGTAGGCACAATAAGTTTGACTTGAAAGGTATAATACAACCTTAAAGCCAAGTATCGAACAAAAATTTTCGAAAGTTTGTTTCAAATAAACGAGAGATCATATAAGTAAAGTAAAAATGTTGTTTTGACCGGCTTGTCATGAACATTGCCGAACCCGGTCAACTTTGAAGCGCTGTAACAGCGTTTTCAACTAACGAAATTTTTAAAAAATTATAGAGGAATATCTTTAAAAAGAGATTTTCTTCAAAATTGTTCTGACATCATTTTTTTAATAATTATTATAAGTATAATATATATAATAATAGGATTTTTTTTCACTTTTTTACTTATAATTTTTAATTTTGGATTTATGATAAAAGTCACACAAATATAATTGTACATATTGTATTGTGTGTAATTGTTGTCGTTGACGTCGACGATATACAATATCTGGCATAGAAAGTTGATCACCTACTTGCCAATTAGAAATGATGACGAAAATGCCAGGCCTAAAGAGTTGTAGCGTCATCGGTAAATATATATATTATTTTACGTAGATGACATAAAAACCACGAATGTCTACATTATACAAAAGAAAAAAGTGGCGGGGAGTTTCTTACCCGCTCTACGCCCTTGACTTGCGAACTGGTAGTAAAAGTAAATCTGGAATCAATTTAACATCTTTTCTGTTGATGTTCATATGATAAGTGTACCTACTTGTTTACCTATATGAATAAAGTTAGTTTGAGTATACTAAGGAACCATCTACCACAGAGAACTGGACCTGCTGCCATCATAACATACAATGAATAAATATCTAGGAAAACCCTAAAATAATTCAAGCCGCATTAATAAGCGGATAGCTAAGTACATTTTGGCAGGCGTTAATCATTAGAGGGTAAGTGTAGTGGAGTTTTAGCAAGCTGTTCTAACAATTTAAGAGGCCATTATTTAGTACGGGTGCACCTAACGAATACCGTTGTTTGCCAAACTGGCGCATAACTATCGACTATTACTGGATAGTGCAGCTAAAATAAATGATTTAAGGTGCGAAATTTGCAATGGAGTAATTAAAATTAAATGCAGATAAACAGACTGATAAATAATTAATTATATTAAAGTTTTATTTATATTTAATGCGAGATATATCAAACAATAAAGAAGAATTGTTAAGATTCAATATTAAGTTAGTTAAGATTAGTTTTAAAATGAAAAAAGTACTTTCAGTGTGTCAAATTCCACAACACTTTTTAGGGTAAATTTGATTATAGAATTACATAAAATACTTTTTTTAACGAAATAATGCAAATATTGTATAGTATCTTAAATAAAAAAAACGATATATAAAAAAAAGTATCTGCGTTGTTTATTTCCTTTTAAATATATGCCTTCAAATACAATTATACAAAAAAAACCTTTTGTATCTGTTTCATGAACATTTGTCGATCTAATAGTAGGTGTGCTAGTAGGTGATCAACCGCCTGTGCCAGACACACGCCGTCGACTTTTTAGGTTAAAGGCAAGGCGGTTTCCTCACGATTTCACGACTAAATGGGCACATAGACAGAAAATACATTAGTTCAAAGCCGGGGCTCGAGCTTATGACCTCAGGGATGAGAGTCGCACGCTCAAGCCACTTCTCTCTTACATATTTATACACCAAGAGTAATATTCAGAAACGTGACCTAGCCCTAAACCTAGTAACCCAAACCCAAAATACTTTGTTTTTGACATACGAGAGAAAGTTTGCGCTAAATTTATATATAATAAGTTTGTTTCCGAATCTCACCTTACCTACGTATTTAAACGCGATGCATACACATTCTCGCTTAACCTTACTTATATTAAAATATAATTCCTAAAAATAGCCTGTTTGCAGAAAATACTTTAACGCAAATCTCTAAGAAAGAGCACACTTTCATGCTATTGGCATGTTATTAAGGCTTTAAACAGTTCAATCAGATCCGACAATTGCGTACAATGGGCGATGTCATGCCGGCACACCGCAAAAACCCGCGCCACAGTGCGAATGACAGCTTACGTAAAGCGTTTACCCACTGAATGAGAGGATTTTCTTGTACAAAGTAGTTCATACTTGAAGGCGATACAATTATTTCCATTTCTTGTAATAATAAAACAAATGTCATGAAGTTCAATATAAGTAATATTTGAGAGTTCCATTGATATACAAAATCTATACTGGTTTGTATTAGTATGAGTTTTTATTGATTACTAGATGACCCGGTGAACCTACCTATGACCTACATATGTTTCCGTAATATGTGGTCAAACCTTAGTATAATTTTATTTAAAAAAAAAAACAAAAGACATATATTTATTTATTCATAAACACTTCGTTGCATAGAGAAATATAACTACAGTTGACATAATTAAATTAAAAGGAGAGCAACTTGCGGCCTTATCGTTTTCGAGCGTTCTCTTCCAGGTAAACAATGTGAGAAAACAAAAATTGATAAGGCAAGCGCCAGAAGTGCAAAAACATAATATAAGACATATATTTTTCACTATTTGCGCTTGCATTATCAAATTTTTTTGAAGGTAATTTTTAATTGTTTTCGTTAATTCCTCGCCATTATTACAGACACGGACAGTGATTAAGTAAACAATACTCACCAAAATTGAATGAAAAAAAAACGCGTTCTCGCTCTCAAGATGCAAGGAATTGGAATGAAATTGTATTCATAGACATATTGTCTTCACTAGGTACCTTAAGGTAACTTAAGGGTTTGAAATAAAATATAGCTTTAAGTGGCTTGTAAGCATAATCCCAAGTGTCGAGTGGTGTGGGGCACAAATGACCTGTCGCTAACACTCACCTGCCGACCGATGCGCACTCGATACACGCTCTATTCGACTTTTAATCGATTCTCACCACAGCGGTCTACCCATCGATTAATCGTTGACGATGGGACCCATTAATCCGATAATTATCGGAGTTATGGTATAGGAAATATTTATGGTTTAGAACAGTGTTTCCCAACCTTTTTTTGTGCCTTGCCCCACCTCAGATTTTCTGAAATTCTTATGCCCCCCCCCCCATATTACGTGTATAATTTAAAATATTAAATGATAGGTTTAGGAAGAAATTAAGAGGAAATTGTTAACGAAACACAGATTTTGAAAACATAACTAAATACTGACATTTAAATTCCAAATAATTAAAAAAAAAATCGAATAGCCCAATCTATTAATCAATTAAATAGGACAATCATTGTCCCCTTGTGGGGCGTAGGCGCCACGTTGGGAAACACTGGTTTAGAATTAAGATAATTATCATTAGTACAGCCAACTCTTTACCCGGTAATACTGAGTTTAAAGAATAATTATTCCAAATTGTAACACCCTATATTTTGACCCAAATGTTCAGTCACGTACACAAGTATGGTAATAACATATCCTTATAACACACTAATTTCTGTGTATGCAATGTCTGCATGTCTGCATGTACCAAACAACTTAGTGAATATTTATACATAGTAAAAAGGTAAACCGCATTCTGATTTTAATAATTTGTTAAGAATTTCTCCTTAAACCAAGAATTTTAAAGTACTTACGGGTCACTAGCGCGCCGCTTCGCCCCCGGCTCAGCGGGGCCCTGTTGCGCGAAGATATCCCCTTCACCAGCCGCCTCCAAGATTAGATGCTCATGTGATCTTATGTATTGCAGTGGTGTCTAAAAATGTATTATTAAACCTTACGAACGTTTTTGAAAAAGAAAATGACACTCCAATAATTTAAAAAAAAATTGTTGAGTTTAATTTACTAAATTTAACAAATAGTTCATGTCGATTTTGAAACTCAAAGTTCATTAAAGTAGGTTGAAGTCTAAAACATAAAACGTTCTTCAACATAGTGTGACAGGATTAATTTAGATATAGAAAATTTGTGCATGTTTCTTAATTTTGGGTTCCAACATTAATTGTAATTAAGATAAGTAACTCAAAATCTCTTATTAAAATAAAACATATAGATATAAACGCGATTTATTTATTTATCGAGTTATGTAAACATCATTAATTTGCGTTTTGAGTAAATTTTCTCAATCGTGGTGCCAGGTTTATATAGTTTAACATTCGCTCGAACGGTGAAGGAAAACATCGTAAGTAAACCGGCTTTCCTTCTACTCAAAAATTGACGGCGTGTGTGAGGCCCGAAGGCTGATCATCTACTTTTATTAGAATGACAAATGATCATGAAACACACAGAAATCTGAGGCCAGAAATTAATTTTATTTTAAAAGCCCGTAAAAGGCACCTTAATTAGAAAAATATCACACTCTTCATAACAGTTGTACATCTGAAAGCCCTCTGTAAAACATTGAGTAAAGGTCTACGTACTTATTACTAAACGTCAACCAATTCGACTTAGGGTCCTTCAAGAAAAGAGCGTACAAATTCTTGAAAGGCCGGCAACGCACTTGCGAGCCTTCTGGCAGTGTGAGTGTCCATGGGAGGCGGTATCACTTAACATCAGGTCAGCCTCCGTTTGCATCCTATTACATAAAAAAAGTACTTTACAAGGTACAAAAATGTTTATGTTATGGTATTAAATGTACCTGTTTCATTCTTCTAGCTTTCGCGTGTAAATCTCTTTGCGCTAATGGCAATAAAGCCCTTAGAAAACCGGGTACAGAAGCTCGAAGAGGATAGTTGGTGCACTCTTGGACACCTGCTTGGAACTCTTCTATGTTCATCACTCCAGCCTATTATGTAACAAATATAAACGTTAGGGAAACATCTATAAAATAAAAATACAAAAAAATGGGGAAGATGCGTCTTTTTTATATTTAAACCAAACATTTTGTCGTAATGGAACTGAAGCCCAAAAATTCTAATCTGAGTAACAATTGGCATTATTCATGAATTTTGAAGTACCCAGGATTAACCAGAAACCGCCACCTTTTATTTTGTTAGATTTACAAAATGTCGAGATACGTTATTAGACCCGTATTACCAATTGTTAATACTAATTTTCTTTATCAATTTGACCTTAGAGTTATTTACGCTGTAGCGGTTCGAATACTTAAGCTTTGGATAGTTCAGAATGACTGACCCGATACATTTACTACTAAGAAGAATTTGGATTCAAGCTCATAAAAAAACCCTTCCATTTCCTATAATCTGGCCTATTGACAGGAAAGAAAGGTGGTACTAATTTATCGCTGAATAGGCACTTTAAAGATTATATTCTTATGTGAATATTTATTTTATAGGTACTTACGACGAGATTAAATATCAACTGCCGCACTCTCTCTCCGGTATCGGCGCTGACGTCATTTGCAAATTGGTGTAGGGCAGATAGAAACTTGCGGAGGCGTTGCAACGCTGGGGCAGATTTTGATCCTTCAGGGAGTGGTGGTGAAAGGGACTCGGTGGATGAGAGCGCAGCTAGAAAAACGATACTTAATATAATATTAAATTTGGATTATTATTTTCAATATGTTCTGTTGTGGCTTTTTAGAAAGAAATTAAGTAATTAAGTAATTATGTAGTTATTAAGTAATAATACTTTTAAATTTGTAATTTTAAGATCTATCAAGAAAACACTTATTCAAGATTTTTTTTAAATTCCACTCGAAAATTACTTGCTATAATTTTTAAGTCAAACCCATAAACGTACAGCTTATAATTAAAGTAGGTATTGGTTTGATTGTGTAACTAACCAGTTGTGCCGTTGACCTGTGGACTAGGAGGGCCGGGAGTGGGAGATGATCTGATCTCCTCCTGGTCTGGAGATCGATCTTTGCCGGACGCTGTAGCTGCAAAGAAAGTTCAACAAACAAATAATGACAAGAACATTTGCAAATTCCGACTTTCGTGTTTAAAATGTGCATAGAATTTTTGTGACTTATTTTAAACTTTTTTCTTTAATTATGATATTAAAAAAAATTAAATGCCTTACAACTAGATGATCGGACTATCTGTAGCCGTGATTCCCAACGTGGGGCCCACGACCCACAGGGGGTCAATTTGATTGTTAGGAGGGATTATTTAAAATTATGTGTAATTTGAATTTCAGTTTTTCATTATATACTTTTTCGTTCGTTCTAGTAATTTATTCCTAAAACCAATCATTTAAGTTTCTTAAGTGAACAATTAAATCTTTTAATATAAAAAAAGGGTGCGTGTACTTATGTACGCGCGTAAGAAGTTATACTTCTTTGGCATTATTAAAAATAGTTTTTGATTGCATGCAAATAATTAATTACAATTAAATAATCAAAGACTGGAAAAGGAGTCATTATAGTCAATAAAGTTCAGTTTACATTTGAAAAATTAAATAAATATATATTATTATTCTCTTACATTAAGTGTAACATAAATTCTATTATTATTCGAATGTTGTTTTTTAAATTATGTCCAATGCTTTAGCATCTTCCGTGGGCAACTTCATTCTGTTAATTTTGTGTCACGGTGCGCGCGCATCGTAAAATTTTACTCTCATCAATTTTTCATAACGCGCCTAAAGAAGGTGGTTACATAGGTGAAGGTAGGTTAAGGTGGGGCATGACACGACAAAGATTGGGAAACATTGATCTAAAGATTTTACTTTAACAAACGCTGTATACGATTTAATAAAAACGATATATATTACTTAAGAAGCAAGCATCACCTTGTTAGGCGTTGAGCAGGCGTATAAGCTTAGAACACACAATGTGACGCGGCATGCCGACGCATAACCAAACATCATCAGCACGTCGAAGCCTAGATTGATACTAATGCTTTAAGATTTCATTAACAGTAGAATCTAATTATTTATTATTTAGTGGTATGTTTGGTTCTCTCTTTAAACAAGTTCAAAAAAGAAAAGATTGTTTATTTTTAGAAATCTTTTGTTTTTTCGGATCTTGATTATTAACAGATTATTTAATAAAACACTATTTTGACCGGATTGAAGTTATGTATTAATGGAGTAAGTTATGTTAATCAAAGACAATATTAACAGATTATTGTTTGAAGCGATATAGGTTTTTTATACTAGTGACTCGGTCATTTCACGGAAAGCACCTTTTTAGTGAAGTTATAATTGGTTTCAAATATAGTTGTCTTATTAAATACATTGTTATTTTAACAACTTTTTTGTTACAGCAAATTGCATTTTTTTTCTATTATCCATCTGCAATCAGCCTCTTGGCTTTTACCAGATTTTATGATTGCATTTTGCGATGAAATTATTTGAATTACTATTTAACGTGAAGTTATTATTATGCAGAGGGTATGAAGTCCTCTATTAAATTATTTCTAACTTAAGTAATTTATAATAAAGTGCCTAGTAAACAACGACACACACACACAACAAATATTCATTTATTTAATAATTTTATGAAAGTCAGTAAACAAGGTAGATAACATTAAAGTTTCACCTAAGCTCGTTAATACAATTGATAAATCCCTTTGAATGTCTGAAAGCAATTTAGGATCAATCACAAACAAGTTATAACTGAACCAAATTTCAGTTTCTGATGGAAAAAGCCGAGTAGCCTGCTGATGACAGAATAAATAAAAGTTTAGTAGAGCTAGTGGTGTGCCAAGTGCGGCGCGCGTGCGGCCGACATGCCCTCTGCCACTAGGGGTGTGGGGTAGGGTAAAATATCGATATGAACTTTACGGTGCTAGTGCAAGATGATGCATTTAAATTACTGTATAAAACATATAACAGAATATAATGAAAAATATAAAATTGTTATATTACGTTTTCTTTAGCTTTTAATTCAAATATGCTATACGTCATCAAACCCGTTTTTCCCCAATTTTTTTTATTAATAAAATTAACTCAAGGGTTTATAATTAAAAAAAAACTGAATATGGAGAAGTTTACCCTTCTAGTAGTCGTGTACAACTAAGAATGAATGAACTGTTATATTTACAGATAAAAAAATATAAAATAACACAATGACACTGCTACGGGGACCAAACTTTTCAAACTTGTCTTAATTTTCTATTTATTAAGAATATCAAAACATATTAGTACTAACATTCTATCGTTAAGGAGGTATTTATATATTTTTAACATAAATCTTTGCTTTTATAGAATACAACAACGCAACGCTAAAATCATTATAGAGACTTAATTTAAAATATTTACCCGTTAAAATTAGTATAAATAGCTGGAATACCCATAAAATTTAAACGTCGCATTAAAAGTCGATAAGATCAAAGCACATCACTACTCGTTATCGAGTTGGCTGCGCGTGGCAGACACCTCGGGCAGCTTTCATCCCGCAATTACTACGAAAATATTTTGTAATGATAACAGGAACTCTGGTTATATTCTCCTAAATCATATGTTATGGCATACCCTTGACGGTGTATAACCTTAAACATCTTTTTTTAATGATATATCAGGTAATAATTAAGTGAACGACACATATACACGCAAATATCAACTTTAAATTTATGTATATAATATATAAAAAAAACTAATAGTCAAAGAAAGCATTTACCAATGTTACAAATATTCACTGATAGGAATGATATTAGATTGTAATTTTATATATATAACATATATACTATAGTGATAAACACTATACTAAATTTTTAAAGGAATGTCAATAAAAGACTACTATACCAAATATTTTTTTTGATAAATTTTATAAGCCTAGCCTAGCATACTGAAACGTGTATTATTGGACGAAATACGACCTTTTACTACGACATTCGCACTATGATGTACCCCTGGATAATACTTAAAGAAGTTGTCTATATATATCATAGCCCGTATAATCTATGGGTTATTCGGCCGCTATAAGTCATGTAAGAGGGCACTCTACATTGAGAGCTCACTCATCATTCTGTCAAAACAATGCTTAACTGTTGACGACATTTTGATTTTGCATCGCATGTCGCATACTAATATAAAACCGATATGTTTTTTGTAAGAAACCAATCAAATTGTATTAAAATTTATGTTCATTCATAGAAATATAGTTTTTTTACAAATATATGGGATACTAGCTGACCCGGCCAACTATGTACCGCCTAACAGTCGATTCTTTTTTCGGATTTTTTATTTTATTTTAAATTATTGAAAAATGTGGTTTTTACACTTTTTCAGTCAATTTTTTTAATTTTTCTCTCCGTAAGAACCAACCCTCGTACTCCAAGGAATATTATAAAAAAGAATTAGCGAAATCGGTTGAGCCGCTATCGAGATTTGTGCTCACCAACACATTCAGCGATTCATTTTTATATTATAGATTTGACAATTGTGTGGCATAATTTTTCCAGCTGCGATCTGTGCTCGAGAAACATGTCAGATCTCGGGATACCAACAGTCTCGAGCTCCACATCGCACCTGGCTCTTTCGAAAGGCGGACAGTCAATATGAACCAGCGTTTGGTGGGCTCTTTCGTCACAGTCGCCTGTGGGGAATGTTTCCAGTTAGAATCTGTGTAAGTAGTGTCCAAAAGCTAGAAATATAGTTATGAAAGGATTCTAAACCAAAAGTAATTAATATTGTCGCAAGCTGCTTTCCCATATATAATGTATGTTGCCAATAGGACTTTTCCTTGTACGTATTGTGTCTTAAATACTCATATATACATACGAAATATTGTTTTCTTTACAAAAAATAACAAGAAATTGAAGGGTAAACAATAAAATATGCAAAGTAAAATTGTAGGGCACGAGGCATAAGTACTATAATTTGTATCGGCGACGTGTTTAACTATTCATACTTAATGCTCACTACTTATACGAACTGTCGATTATGGAGTATGAAAAATATTGCTATTAGGATTTCATTTAATATTTATGCCAAGGAGGATATTATATATAAACAAATTTACGTAACTATATATTTTTTTAAATAATATCTGAAGTGTCTATGGAATCAAGAAAAATATTTTAAAGTCTATCATATAAGTTAAATAATCTTTATCGTTAGTGATAAGGACAAAACATTCAATATATATTTGAGGCCCATTGTTTGTTTATAAATCATTGCTTTGGTTTCCAAACATTAATTAATTTGAAATATATTAAATATTGTGACATATAACAATATTAATGATAGCGTAGACCCTTTGCACGTGAACTGTAGCTTACTGTCCCGTGGTTGGAAATACGTATAATGAGAACTTCACAGCGCTACGTTATAACGTAGCGATCCGTAGTACTTCATCTGCGTAGCAAATAAACGTTGTATTCTGTAGCAGATTTAAAAAAAACGTGCTGTGTATTTGTAGTCTTTAATTAATGTAATGGATAACTTAAGCTAATAAGTAAACCTTTAAATATAATTATGCACATTTTACATAACAATTATTATTATTAGCCTACCATCAGAGACGATTTTTATTCACGAGTTTGAGTAGCACTGGAGTACTTTTTCCATCTTAAGTAACATTCTCCATCATTAAAAATGTAGTTAATATACAGAAAAATTCTCCAATTGAGTCCCAAAAAACAAGTAATGAATTCCGAGAAGTATTATCGATAATTAATCATATTATATATACCATACAATTGATACAGGATGTCAAAAATAAGCTTATTGTATCTTAGGAATCAATCATTCCAGGCTGGTGAATCTTTTATAACCTAAGTCAGTGGGCTCTAAACAAATCCCCCAGACAGTGTTCCCGTCACGACCGTGTGCGAAGGCCTTTAAAGCAGGCGCGCTTTCCCACGCTGGATAATTCATGGTGTTTGCTCTTCGAAACCCCTCATCGATTATCAACGAGCTATGATTGTACCTTTCACTTGTCATGTGTCATTCTAAGAATTGTAATTATCAGAATATTTAATTTACACAGATTGTGCATATTTCAGTTAGAAAGTCATGCAAGTTTGTTTTTTACCGATTTCAACCTTAATTCAACAAACTAAAGCACAAAATATTTATGTTTTTTCGTAAATTTGTTTATTAGGATTTTTTAATAAGATACGCCCATTAAAAATCACCAGGATAGAGAGAGGGATGCCGACCTTTTATGAATTGATACGCTCTTTTCTTGAGGAATTAGAAATAACTATAGCAGCTAGTTCCACATAGTGGTATTTGACGGAGTTTATTAAAATATATATAGAACGAATAACGGGCACTGGGTATACATCCTAAGTATATAGTGCACATTTTATGTTAGTTAAACATATTTAAACCGTAGAAATACTACTTGGATTGGGGCCTGGGATATAGTACCGATGACCTCAGACCTGGAGCTTTTCTCGCTTAACGAATTAAATGATCACTGCACCAGGGACGAATTTTTGGAGTTTACTCCTTAAGAAACGATTTGAGTTATAAAGCCCGGTACGGAAATTTTATGAGGAGTAAAATCAAGTGTAACACGAAAAGTTGAGGCGTTATGTGTAACACAAAAAGTTGAGGCTTATTGTAACCATTGGTGAGAAAGAGACAAACATATATATCTGTAGGATTGAACGTGTAAAAGAATGAGATGGAATACATTACACAGACTTTTCTATTTTGAATTCACGTTTTGACAGCCACGTTACAACATTGTCAGTGTTGACAGGTGTAAAAAATAAAAGTAGATTGTCTAGCGTGCCATAGAGTTTTGTCAATAGTAATGGTCAGTGAAATTAAAACTAAAAAGATTGTTCATTCTTATTCTTCTCTTACTATAAAGGTAACTTTGGTCACAGAAAGAAAATCCTATTTGGGCATAGATTATGTAGGTACGTTTTATTACTACTACAAACATTTATATTATAAAAACATATATTCTTACCACCTTTAGTATGAAAATATGGTCGACAGCCACAGAACATTATCGCCATCTTTGTTCTGCAGTGCATTTGACACAAGCCGAAACTATAAGCCTGGGAAACACCACAGCTTATAAAGTATGGAAGTCGTCCGTCCGTTTTGTATAGAAATCAAGATTTATTTTAAATAACATACTTTATGTAATACGCTTTATTGAAGTAATATAAATAATCCGAATAATTACAGATATATGTTTGTTTCTCTTATCATTTTAGCAGATGCGTTCATTTACCCTTTTTTTCTATTCGATATATATCATAATTATCGTTCGTAAGGAGTAAACTCCAATCGTGCGTCGTAGCTGACACACACACACTTTTTTTAATTTATTTTAGTTTTCTATTTATAAACCCCCCCCCCCCCCCCCTTTTTGCCCCCCCCCCCCCCCCCCCCCCCCCCGCGGCCCCCCCCCCTTTTTTCTTTGAAAAATTTATAAAAAAAAAAAAAAAAAAAATAAAAAAAAAAAAAAAAAAAAAAAAAAAAAAAAAAATCCCATTTATAATAAATCCCAAAAAAAAAAAAACCCCCCCTTTCCCATTTTTTTAATAATAAAAACCCCCCCCCCCCCCCCCTTTTTCAAAAACCAAAAAGGTTGGTTTTTTTCAATAAATTTTTTTTTAAAAAAAAAAAAATAAACCCCCCCCCCACCAAAAATAAAAAAATTTTGTTTTTCCCCTCTTTGGCCCCTTCCCCCCTCTCTTTTTTTTTGTCGTTTAAACCCGGGAGGGCTTTTCTTTTTTTTTTTGTTGGGGCGGGTCCTGATGAATAGCCTAGAGCGGTCAGAACCCTTGATCAGTCTCTGTTTATACAGATTTCATTATTATCATTACGAAATTAAGAATATTGTTAATTAATACTCTAGGATTTACTTTTACACTTATCTTAAATAATATTAGATTAACTCGAAATAACTCTAAACATTTTCTCGTTTAAGTAAACTACATTGTATCTTAAGTGCGCGGTCAAAGAGCAACATTTAATAAATTATAATCTGTGTGTGACAGGCGGGTACAATAATTTATTTACGGTACATTTTTGCGCGTCTGTTTCAGATGTGAACAGTGCAAAATCATTTACTTTGTCATAACCAAATCTTTATTTAAATGGAAGTCTATATGAAATGACGGTTACAAATATAAAAATATTACATCTTAGATAAGGGTTTTTGAAATTAATTTATATTAGTGCTACAGAGTGTAAAGGTTCTTTTCAGGCGTTTCCTGTATATTATTTGATGAGACTACTAAGGAGGACGCCTGCCAGAAACTTGACATCGACATTGACGTATACAGGTAGAGTTATGAGATTGATTATTCGGTCAGCGACTAATTTTAAACATCTAATAAAATCTTTGATTTTAATTTTTTATGTTGGAAAATCAATTTACAGACCTCTCGGGCAACTTGTTAATGTAACGCGGGGAGTGTGGGGGCCGTGGGGGGGTCTATTGCATCTGAGGTGCAATAGAACCCTACCCACTAAAGCCCAACAGCCTTTTCTGCTCGCTATGGAGCGACGGTAACGCTTTCCCTTAAGCTACTGCTACCCCAACTTCCGAGTTCCCCAATCCGGCGCAGCATCTAACCTAACTTATTTTTTACTAAGATTCAGAACTCAGTTTGCTAGTGCTAAAGTGCTACTTAAATAAAACTAAAATATTGTAATTTTTAATGTACAGTGTGTCATATAGCATTGAGAAAAAAGAAAGAAAAAATAGTTATTCGATAATACAAACGAATACAAAAACAAATTGGCCAACTCTGATTTTCAGTGGGCCCTATATCTTGGTCTGACAACAAATAGAGTATTATACTATGTATATAGCTTCGTTTTAAAGGAACAGATTTATTTGTAAACAAATAAAATATATCTAGAATTTATAAAGTTTAAGGAAGAAAACGTTCTAAAAGCATGAATTATTGATCGAACAACATCGAATAAATGAAATGCTCACAATTTGAACATTTTATCAAACCCTGCTCTTTGTATAAATGGTTTATTTACACGGAAACATTACTTAAGTGCCTAGATGTGAAATAATCCATTTTACGTTTTAATTGGTTTCGAATGACATGATCGTTGATTTGGTTGTCATTTAAGAAATACTGTAATATTAAAAAAAAACACGGGTAAAAGCCTCCTCTAAGGTATTCCACAATTTTCTATTTTTGCTATCTTTCCTCCGTCATCATAATTCCGTCTGTCCAGATATTTTTAATAACAAACTTAAAATCTTAACATATATAAATTACGTGTCACGTTGTTTGTCCGCTATGGACTCCTAAACTACTGAACCGATATTAATCAAATTTGCACACCGTGTGCAGTTTGATCCAACTTAAAAGATAGGATAGCTTACATCTCAATTTATACCCGCAATATTATTTTATTGCTAAATATTTGTTTTTTGTACCACCTCTTTAGGTCTCCGAATTCTGAATCTGTTTCATGATAATTGTTCAATCTAATAGGCAAGTAGGTGATCAACCTTCAGTGCCTAACACACGCCGTTGACTTTTGGATCTATGACATGTCGGTTTCCTTCACCGTTCGAGCAAATGTTAAATGCGCACATAGAAACAAAGTCCATTGGTAGACAGCCAGGGATCGAACCTAGGGATGAGAGTCGCACGCTGAAGCCACTACTCAACAAAAATAAACATATTTTTATTTAATTTAGTAAAATTCTAATATGAGTTAAGAAAAAATAAAATGATTAGTTAAAAATGCGTTACAAGAATTAGAAAAATGATTAATTTATAAGATCGTGTCTTTTCTAGATGTGTATGTCATTGTATTTCCAGTCCGTGCCTCGCACCATCGCAGTTAGATTATTATCGGGCGCAGTTGTGTCTGTTCCCACAGAGCCTAGCTACCCACCCAACAGCTAATACATTATTCTATTTAGGATATATCTAGAAATCTAGATCGGCATTAGAAATTATGATTGGGCTTTTACTACCTCACAAGCATAGTTCGAAAATTACTTATAAACAAGAAACTTACGTACTAAAATAAAATAAGTTATCCGTCAAGGATGTTCTCAACCCTAATTCTTTAGTCTAAGTTCCTATGCATGATTTAGATTTAGATAAAAACTGTTTAATGTTGAACTAAATCTATAAGAGCCTAACACTTGTAACACACAGTGTAACACTTATTTAATTTATTTCTACACACCTACTAACCACAATGAATATTGTATCTCAACGATTCGTAGCCTAGTATATGTATACGATCTCTTAAATGTAATGTTTTTGAGTCAAATAAAGTAATTTTACACAAACATAGGTAATAATATCTACCATCGTTTCCACATACGCTTTCTAAGCGTAATGCTTCGCGAAATTCATTTGAGTTAAGATCCGTTGGAATAATCTTTGGTCATATGAATAACATTTTAATTTAACGTAAACTTCATGACATTAACATTTATTATTTATTTATACTTCGTCACATGAAATACAGTAAAATAAATAAAAAGGAGGGTACTGGAAGCCTTATCGCTTTTGAGCGATCTCTTCTAGGTAACCACTGCGAGGAAAGAAAAAAATAAGGTGTGCGCAAGAAGTGCAAAACTACAAAAGACATAAAGGCATAGACTTAGGCATAAAGAGTGGAACAAAACAGCAATTAAAACATACGTAGATATTGAAAAGGACTATAATATATAAAAGAAAAGGACGCATTGATCACGATAATTTCAGTAGTTAGTATAATATTGCCTTTTTCTATAATTAATACTGTAACTAATCCATGCAAACATGGAATCTGTGTCAATTTTGTCAATATTTAGTATCAAATGATTAATGAGCGATTTTGTAGCCCCCGAGTTTTTAATTTGTTTAGCCAGCATAAGTAAATAGCTGAAAATGCCTGATGACTAGAATAATCTCGGTTGCTGTGCCTAAGTAACGGCATAAGGATTACTTACATTTTCGCCTCTCAGTGGTAGTAGGCTGGTAGTCCTTATCTGGTACCTCTTCTTTTACTTTGGCTTCCATCTGAAAGAAAAATAAAATGTACTTTGAATATATAAAAAAATTAAATAGGTATCTATATTTATTCAATAATAATATTACTTTATTTTATTATTTAAGATGTGTGCTTTGCCGGTCTTTGAGGAGTAAGCTTTTTTTTAAATACTTGGAAGTCGTATCTTCTTGGGAAGATGTTTACTGGGAGCCGATTCTACAACTCGTTAGTTTGCAAAAAGAGGTACCTAGTGCGGATGAAATCTGAGTCGTACGGTGATGAAACGAGGTTCAACCCAAAGAGGTTATAATAATTAAATACTCTAAAGATTTTGTTATAGCTATATTGTTAAAGCAAGATTTTAGTATTAAACTAATATTGACTTGTAACATCTGCAATTAAAGTTTCACGTATCTGTGCCAATTTCAAGAAATTTAGGTAATTTGTTCTACAAACACATAACCTCTTTATGCGGTGTCGGTTAGTGTACACAGATGCGCGTCGCAGGTGCGCACGTGGCGTTCATTTATAACTCGCGTAAACACAGCTGTTTAATACGCTTTCAATTATATACTTTTTCATTCAAATATTCCTGCTTTGCAAACCTGTATATATATAATTTATGGAAATAGTTTTCTAGTTGGTGTAATACGGCAAAACCAACAACTTGCCTACAAAATAAATTTAATTTAAATTCATTTAATTAGGACGATTGTACGAAGCGCGTACGAACCATTTACTGTAGTTTTATTTGTCAAAAACATTAAAAAAGAATCAATCTACTTTAATATGAAGCTCCTTACAAACATTGTGTAAAACAAAAAAACTTGGGGATTAAAAAGAGTTGCGGAAAGCTTATTGCCAGTTCTTCTCTTCCGTTCTACGCCCTTGATTGGAGAACTGGCAGTAAATGTAAAATTTAAAGCATTTAATATGTATTTCTTTTTTGACGTTTATAAGTGTACATTGTGTTACCTATATGAATAAATGATTTTGATTTGATTTGATTTATGCGTAGCGTATACCTAAATATTTATTTATTAACTGTAAAAAGATGGTTGAGTGTCTTTAATTATTAAAATTATTAATTTTTTTTCGTTTAATTTCGTCATGTATGAGGCGGCATGTTTAATTCATAATAATTTTAACAAGGCGATAAAGCTTCTGGTGTCTACTTACCCGAAAGAATTGTTGCTGAAACTCGAAGCCAAAACCTTTGACATTATGTAATCTGCGTGATCGCCAGTATACTATGTTACTATAATTCATGCATTGTATGGCATTATTGTCCTAGCCACGGTAATGATTATATTGTGGTAAACCCATGTAATTATTAAATAGAAAGGAAACAGATTAATACCATAGTGTATAAGACGGAATCACTTAAAGACTGTATAGTCGTAATATACACCATATAGAATGTAGTATATATTTAAATTTGTGTGTATATAAAGATTATAACGTAATTACATGGATTATCAAATCAGTTACATTCTTTTACCTAATAAATAAATAAGTTAGCTCTTCTTTAAATACTTAAAGTTATAATTGAACTCAGCTGTGAAACACAAATATCTGAAGGCTATAAATATATATATATAACAACCCAGTGACAGTTTTTTTTTCTAAAAAGACATAAAAAATAAGGAAATACAATTGCCGTTTTTTGTATTTTCCTTTACTTACTATTTGTTTTACACCGTTTAAACCTTCCCTGACTTTCACACATATTTCAAGATCATAATTAGCCAAATTGGTCCAGCCTTTCTCGAGTTTTAGCGAGACAAATGAACAGCAATTCATTTATATATAATTTGTTTGTTGCCAATAAATTTGTAACAAATTCTCTATCTAGAGGATATTTCTAAGGTATTAAATTCATTATCAGCATAATTTCTATGACAATAATCACATGAGTTATTTCAGTATGGAGTAATGTTCTTTCTCATCGAGCAGCTGGGTTGCGTCTAAAGTGACGCCAACCATTTGCCCGCAAGAGTCTACAGATATATCACACATACTTAATGTATATACATTATAAAATAAATTAATCAGTGGCGTTACAACCTCTTTAGGCCTGGGCCTCAGATTTCTGAATCTGTTTCATGATCATTTCAATATAATAGGCAAGTAGGTGATCAGCCTCCAGTGCCTGACACACGCCTTCGACTTTTTGGGTCTAAACCGAATTCCAAAGTCCATTGGTGCACAGCCGGGGATCGAACCTAAGGGATGAGAGTCGCACGCTGAAGCCACTAAGCCAACACTGCGGTATATACATTTTACATATACCTAAAGACGTATCATAGTCCCAAAAAACTAAGAACATATTATGTAAGATAATTTAGTTATCATAATTATTGAACGTCCAAGTCGTGCTTAGAGTTCAATTAATTTCATATTGTGATGATGTATTTATGGGTATGTACTCGTAGTAATGCATTTTACAATACGTCCGTCATCAGTTTCATAGTTATAACGATGGTGGTTTAATTAATAGTAAGGCTGACTGCTTACAATAAAGCTCGGTATTTCCTCTGCATTCATAACATTTTCGTATGAAAAGCTGGAGAATCAATAGAAAACTTGCAAATAGTTCAATTACGTGCAAAAGTAAAAACTCTAGCCACCTGGCGCCAACACCTGCGCTAACGAGGAAATTTGTACCCCCGATACCCCCTGAACCCCACCGCCCTGGGGTTATAGAAAATGAGATTCAATAAATCTGTACACAGCTTTTAGGACATTGACGTGTACAAGAATGTTTAAAAAGGTTTATTCGTTTCTTTGTAATTAATGAAAACCTTTTTAGAATATAATTTTTTTCTCAGACTTGTAAATAAATATTATGACAGCCCTTAGGCGGGTTTTTGCTATATATTTTTATATGATTTAGGTAAGTTTAGGTAGATTTTGGTGAATCCTACTCGACAAGTAAAGTAGGATTCACCGATAATTGAAAAAAAATCTAACTTAGAAATGGCGGTAATAACTTGCCGTATATTTATTGCACCCTGTAATAAATGTTACCACTACCAATATTTGTAAGCTTTTTAAATGTTACATTTGTTAACACTACCTCTTTCAATATATAACAAATTCACTAATTCGCCTAATGCATATCGTCAACGGAAAAGGGGCTGTCATGTAAACGTTTTATTTAACTTTGGTATAACAAATAATATATAAAATAAATATTTAACAATTCAAAATATTACCAAAATATGTATTGTATTTTAATCCCTACGATTTTAGTATTGTAACGTTCGTATCCATAAACGTACCACAGGCTTCAAACAATATACATAGTTTATGCTCATCACTCTTGTAAAATTTATTTTACTCTAAAATTCGTAATATTAGCGTGCTTAACCAATTTAAAGGGTATTAAAGATACATATAATAATGAGCCTAGACTAAAATTAGAACGGCTATCTGATGGCAACGACATCTCGTTCGTATATATTAAATTTATAATTTAAAAAAATCTTGTAATGTGAAATAAAGTTCTTTATATTTATATTAAATATTATGTCGGTTAAAATTGTATGAAACGTATCACCTACATATCTCAATGAATAAATTCATTACTACTTTGCCAATATTTTAAGCATGATCTATCAAAATGTACGTAACGCTATACAAAAAAAAACTAGCTTTTACTAATCCTCTGTGGTCAAATTACGATATCTTCCTACGTGTGGCAACCCTATTCAAAATGGTAAACTATTATAATTTATACAGTTGCACCCACACTGAAAGAATCCGGAGTGACAAGAAGCAGGCTGTTTTGACGTGATATTGCACAGACACACTAATATTGTTTGCGTTTTCCATCGTTCTATTTGATACGTCAGCGGAAATACTTTGCATTTATTTAATTCACAAATCAATCAATTAGACAGATACAGTTTTACTTTCAAAGCATTGTAATTGTTTGATTTATACAACTTTACATTATATTTCCAATTTAAACGAATTATCACATAAAATAATAGCGGACCCGACAGACGCAGTCGTGTACACACGTCTTAAGTCCAAAAAAAATCAAATTTTTAATCTAAGCCATTCTCGAAAATTCCACACACGTAAATTTCATCAAAGTCGGTCCTCCCATTTACGAGTTTAATTACAAATACAGAAGATTAATATATATAAAGATTTAAATTTACCGGCTTTTACGAGACGATTTACCAATTTACCGATTTATTAAGAAACAAGAGTATTGTGTAAAGTAATTTATGACGATAGTAAAGGTTTTTAAATGATTGCAACTTGTTAATAAATTGTAGTACATGTCATGTTTTGTCTTGTTTTACTTTGTATTGTGTTTTTTATTAGTGAAACTTTTTTTGTGGATATGTCCAATGTGTCTATTCATTTTATGTTTTACATTTATTTGATTTTTTCTGTATAGAGATGTATCTGTTTAGTTTCCTTAATAAATAAATAAATAAATATATGTCGTAATACATTATTTCTTATCGAATAAACAAATGTACAACCAGTTCTTACAGAACGGCAGAGGCGTGAATTCAAATCGATTTTTGGAATGACATATTTGTTTTACAGTAATTCTAGTTTACTATTCCAAGAGATTTAGTTAAGTGGCATGGCTAATCTCAACTCAGAGATCGTGCAGACGAACGCCATCTTGGCACCTTTATTTTTATATTATAAATAAGAATAAAAACCTTTTATATCAGATACATTAATATTTATATTATCTCATTCATTCCTATCTGTGTGCCCTTTTTTGGGCAAAGACTGCACTGCACTGTGTCACTATCTACCATGTACCACCTGCTGTTTTATTAATCTGGTCTCTCCACCTACTAAATTGTCTACCTCTATTTCGTTTTTTATACCTTTGGCACCAGTTTAATACTTTGTTGTTCCACTTTTTTGTTCCTCTTTCCAATGGGTTTTTTATCCATGCGCAATTAACTCGTACGGTGAAGCCAAAAAATCTAATAAAACGTCTGGATTAGCTAAATAATCTAATAGTTGACGGCTGATTGGTCTAGTG